GCCAAAAAAAAAAAAAAAAAAAAAAAAACAGCGTCTTCACTTCACATCATGCAGCACCACAGTGTCAACACCACCTCTCATGCATCCGCATTACACCAGATCATGCAGCCCCATCTCACCATATCACGCCGTGGCTGCATCACACCACATGTTGCAGCAGCATGCCACTTCAATTTTCTCGCTCATTTTTTATAAGTTGATGACCCTTCTTTGCCCTTACTCGTGTCTATATCCCTCTCTCGACGTAATATACCTTCTCTTTCTCTCTCAGAATCTCTCTCCTTTTCTCTCTCCACCCTCTCCTTTTCCATCGATTTCCGTGTGCTTCCTTTTTCTGTCCTCTGGATACCGTTCCCAGGCATACTGTCACTGCGTCGCCCTCCTACATAGTACTTGGGGATCATCCCCCAGCAGCACAGCGGATCATTGACTCAGAGGAGGATGGAGCAGCATCGCACCAGGTCATGCAGGATGATCAGATTCATCACAATGTCCCCACCACCACCTCTCGCTAGAAACGGACCCTTGCACAGCCGCGAGAGACAATGTGAACCGTTACGGTTGCGTCTCCTTTCTAGAGAAGTTCTAGTACTTCTAGATCCTGCAGCAGCATCACACCAAAAAATATATAATCAGGAAATTCAATAGGAGTCTAGGCTACCAGAGTGGCCCGGGGCCAAGTCCCACTAGCAGCGTTGAGCTACCTCAACGCCTGAATCTGGACACTTTTGCGGAGATGTCCAGAAATGGTGTTGAGTTTCGTGAACTGCACGTCTGCACAAACACGTCCAGATTCAGGCGTTGAGGTAGCTCAACGCTGCTAGTGGGACTTGGCCCCCCGGGGCCAGGTCCCACATGCACCGTTGAACTAGCTCAATGCAAAAACGGTGTGACACGGTGTTTGCCACTTAAAAACTCAAAACAAAGGCAAAAAAAGAGAATCAAATGCTGCAGAAAGCTTTTTTGAAGTTTTCCCCCTATTTCCCAAAAAACAATGAATAACCAAATGCTACTGAAATGTTTGTCCGTATTTTCTAAAAAGTAAAATGGAAAATACAGCAATACTCAGTGAAAGGATCCTCATACTACTCAACGTCGGAGACAGGGACTCACTACAAATGAAATAAATGTAGACAGTACTCCTGGCTTGGTGCCTTCGCAGAAATGAGTTTGGGGCTGCACAGCCAAACACAGCATGAACACTCTGTCAGAGTGTCCTCCCATGGATGTCAGAGTTTCCTCCCACAGAATGTCAGTGTCCTCCCACGGTTGTCAGAGTGTCCTCCCAGAGAAGGTCATGATGGCACAAGCACCATTGAACCCATACCCCACTCCAAGTGGGGTATGTAGTTCAACGGAAGATGGGCAGGGTAGGGGGCTTTGTATTCGGGCAGAAGGATTTTTCAGCACCTTTCTTGAACCAAAAAACAAAAACGAAAGTCTTTGTATTTTATACACCTAGGAACAACCACTGGATGTGCAGCTCCGGATGCATCTCAGACATCGCGCGGGGTCACGCATGTTGAGCTAGTTCAACGTTGAACTGGCTCAACGGTGTATGTGAGACTTAGGGCCTCGTTAGACACTCCTTGTGGACCCGAAATCCACAAGGAAGTGCTCTTTCCACCTGTCCTTGGGGACGATTCCTGAAAAAAGATGTGAAAACAGCACAAGGAAATTTCCTTGTGGCGTCCTTGTGGCTACAGCCAATTTTTCCTAATCCCCAAGGGACCTCCCGAGGTCCCTCGGAGCACAAGGAAGCGCAAAATTCGGACCGGCGAAGGCATGCGTCGACGCACAGTTTCAGTTTCAGGGTGCTCCAGACGTGGTCCACCGAACGGGAGCACGGACATGCCCTCCACCGTCTGGGTGGCACCCCAACGGCTCCAAACGGTCACCGTCCGCATGAGGCCTCCGTCCGTCGAATCGGGCATCGCCGGCCGGTGTCATGCGGTCTGCTGCGCTGGGCGATTGTCGACAACGGTCGGAAATTTGAATCCTTGTACGCGCCCGCGCTGCGTTCGGCGATGACAATTTATTTTGGAAGATCGTCGTTTTCGTTTGTTGTCGTCACGCCTTGCACGTCGGAGCACAGATCTTCCCTCGCTTTTTCTTCTGTCGACGAAGTTCTTCGCTGGACAGTCGACCACTGACGTGGAGCTGCTGCCCTTTCCACAACCCTTACATGGCCGACCTGCTGCACAGGCTGCCTCTGCTACTCCTCGTCGTCATGCTGTTTCTCATCGTTGTCTTCTTCCACGTGTGTTTCGTCGGCCTGCTCCCTGTCGCGGCTCGCAAAAGGAGATCTTCCAAGAACGGCGACAGGATGGATCGACGACTGACCAACAGCAGACCGGCAGCTCCCTGTTCTGCTCCCTGTCCTGCTCCCTGTCTTACTCCCTGTCCTGCTCCCTGTCCTGCGCTTCATCCACCACCTCGGCGTTGCTCGAGGAATCACTCCGCAACCCAACGCGTAGCACAACTGAGCAACAGCCTCCGAGGTCGCCACGTAGTCGGGGCCATCGTCTGGAGCTTGCATCAATGTCCTCCGTCTACGCACGCGCAACTGCTCCTTCAGTCATCCCAGCGCCCTCTCCTGCTGACATCGAAGAACAACAGTAGACACGGCCGCCACCACGGCCTGCAGCTCAAGAGATGTCAACACCGCACGTCCACCCTCTCTGCCGCCCTCCATAGCCACGACCTGCACACGGACCCGTCGCTCCGCTGCCGTGTGTGTCGTCCTTCTACACCCAACGAAGAAGCCGAAGACGTCCGTCGAAAGTTGGCCCCTTTTCTCTGGATGCAGTCCTGCAGACGAAAATGTGTTTCAAGACGCAATCGACGTGTGCGACGGTCGACGGCGATGGACGCACCCGACGATGCCTGCGCACTCGCAACGGCCAGGGGAAGGAAGTGCCGCCGCCGCTGAGGCCGTTTCAGCAGTACGTCGTCTTCACGCCGCCAGCCACACGTCGTCGCCGTCGTTGCAACTGTCAAATTCGAATTTCAAACGTCACCGCCCCCCAGGTTAATTTTTTTCCCGTCGCCCGCCTCATGCTGTTTCCCGCCACATGTCACTGGACCACGCCGCCTCCACACGGACAAAAGACGGTGGACCAAGGACCACCGGCCTGCGGGCACTAATTTCCATATGAAAACGGTCGTGGGCATGCCACAAGGAAACATCCTCGGGGCAGGTCCCCAAGGATGAGTGGAACGACGCCGCAAATTTCCCTTCAGAGCCACAAGGAAATTTCCTTGTGGCTCAAGGAACTCGTAAGGAGTGTCTAACGAGGCCCTTAGCCCTCGGGGTCAGTTGTCCGGCCGGGCCAAAAAAAAAAAAAAAAAAAAAAAAAAAGGTATTCAATTGATTTTTTAATATAAATTTGGTAAATAATTTCGATGTGACCCTGAGGCAAGAGTTGTTCAGTTTGCTTTTCTGCATAACANATTTTTTTTTTTTTTTTTTTTTTTTTTGTTGGGACCTTCTCTGGTCCTTGCACGGGCTGACCACCCGGGACCTGGGCGGCCCGGCTGAAAGCCTAGATCGGATTGGCATTTTGAGTGCAAGGGTGGGGTTCCCTTGAGGGTGTGAAATTGAGGCCAGAAGGAGATGATTGCGACATGATGATAAGGATGATAAAGTTGAAGTCATCTTGTTCATTTTGGGTCCCATTTATGTGTCAGAGGAAGAGAAGGAAGAGGACGAAGAGAAGTCATCTTGTCTCATTCGTATGCAGCAGCATCACACCACATCACGCAGCGGCACCACACCACAGCACACCACGTGAGTCATGGCAAAGGCAGATGATGATGTGAATGAAGCCCGTATATTCAACCAAAATGAAATGACTGAATGAATACAAGTTGTAGCTAATACCCAAGGCATCAAAGATGCATTTTCTACGGGATCCCAAAACCACCAACAGCCCCAACCTAACTCATGATAAGCCCACCAACTTCCCAGTAGTATTCCTACAGTTCAAAAACACCAGCACGTTAAAATCCAAATTCGTATCAGTTTCCAATAGGCACGTCCAAGAGGTCGCGTTATGGTGCGAAGCACAAAACGTAAAATCACTGCCTTTCTTTTTCTATTGGGATCTTTCAGCTTCCCACTTTCATTGATTTCACGCGCAGTGTGTTTTTTTTGTTGAGTTCCAGATACACATAAACAAAAACCAATAGTACTGGCAACGTATCCTGCATAAATACAAGGAGGATGTATAGCCAATACGGGGTCTTGTAGTATAGGGTTGAATTCTTTTCCCAAATTAGTGCTTAAAAAGAAAATTCTAAGAAAAGGATTGGAGGTTAAACATAAAAACGCAGAGAAAAATAAAGCAATCCATTTGTGAATCATAAGAGGGGCACCAGTCAAGGCAACAAACTTGAACAAAGGTTAAAAAAAAAAAGAAAAAAAAAAGGACAAAGGATCACATGAAGTGCCGGTCACAAATGGTCACCTTGGAAAAGGTTCAAAACCACGGCAGCGTCGGCAGTCAGTATATTGATTATTTTTATTATTAAAAAAAATAAAAATAAATAAATAAATAAATAATTTCTGGCATGATATAATGGGTAGCGAGTTCTTTTTCACGCAGCTTCTTTCTCTTTTCCGTTTTTTTTTTTTTTTTTCCTCCACTGAAAAACACGCTGATTCGAAATTATACTTTTCGACTTTTAATATAGTTACTGTACTCTTTTGCCCCAGCAACTTTACGCATTTGAAAACTTTTATTCTAAAAAATGTCATTTATCAGTGTCCCAGAAAGGGCAAGGGCAAGGGCAAGGGCAAAATCATGCACACACACAACAAGTGAGCGCACAGTCACACAAAGCGGACAACAGCAAAACCCGTTTGGCGGGATGTCATATTGGAAGAATTCACGTCATAGACGTCTCATCCCTTCACCTCCACACTCATTCCACATCCCCAGGAACCTCCATTCTTTCCTCGAGCAAAATAGGCGGTCGACTCCGCCGGCTAACGCAAGCGCCAGCTGAGGGTACCGGCCGTGGTACGAGTCCGCTGTAAGAGGAGTTAATACTACTCACAAAGTTATATATACTTGTCTATACCAAATGACAATACTAAGTTCTACAGTAAAATTGACGCACCACCAAGCTTGCTGTCAGGTGCCAGACCGGACCCCTCTTTCCTGCAAAGTTGTCAAGGACCTTAGCAAAAAGGCCCACCGGAAAACCCTTCCGAACATAGGTCATTTTTAACAGGATAACCTGCCCCGGAGTTTTCTTTTGGCGAATTCCTAGGTCCAAATTTAACTTTAGGCAGTCCTCGTTCCGTACCTTCTGAAAACAGCCCAAGATCGGTTGCCGTTCCCGAACCTCCAAATGACAACCGAGAAACTTCCAAGCCCCCGATCCATTGTCCGTTCGTTTGAGGGACAATGTATGGGGGTAGCAGTTCTCAAAATTCGATCTCAAAACCCTCCCAGAAAACCTCTTTTTTTTTTCCCGCAAAGCAAATCCTTCATTTTATTTCCACAGACATGAAATTTCAAGTTTCAATGATTCAGAAGGTGCTCTCAATTTCATAGAAAATGTATTTCGAATTCGCATTAGAAAATCCAATTTGAAAATCATCCAATCGAATTATAATCAATTTGGAAAATTGCTAAAATAGCTTAAAATAAGTTGAAACTTGAAATAGGTGGAAATAACCATTTTTCAATGTCTCCTGGCAAATGTATCATCATCAAAGGGGACATTAGGCCAAGCAACTCCAAAGTAGACAAGACAAGACTGAGTCAAGCCAAGCAGACTTCAAGAGGAAACCAGACGCGACAAAGCAAAGTGAGATAAGTCGAAAAATCCTCGATCGGCATTACTCAATCCGCAATCCCAGGAACCTCCAAACATACCACAAACCCTACGTCCACTACCGCGTAAGCGTCTGCGGGTGTTCTGTAAGAGGACTAAAAGTACCGATCTC